CCTCATGTTTTACCCCACAGTTTCCCAGTTCCACTTCATACTCTCCCCTGCTATTGGGACCCAGTTTATAGGGCATACATAGGGTTTCATTTATTAATTCCTGTATAAATAGTTGGTAGTAAGAGGAATTTATCAACAATAATGTAGTGTCTGGGGAGACAGCAGTATTTCCTTTATTTACCACTAAATTTGTAAATTGTTTTCTTTTGTATGGATTTTTTTTCTTATGCTGTCTCTAATCTGAGGTATATCTATTTTATATGATATGCAGATAGTGGTGTAATGGTATTTGCATCTTAGATGATGTTTCACTTTTGCTTAAATACTTTCACTATTATTATAAATAGTTCTTTCAAACATTGAGTATACATCCATGATGCTAGAGCTGATATCAGATGACCCATGTAGTAGCTACTACTATTCTCTTCCTTGCTTGTTCACTAATGTCTCCCAGGGGAAGGGTCACTTGTATGTTATCCTAACCCCTGTCCCATGTTCCCTTCAGAGAGGTTATTAGTCTTTTTGATAAATTTCTATAGATAGATAAGTAAATAATGAAGACAGATTGCACATGGAACATTGTTAGAAAGTATGAACATCGAGTATAGTTTTCCCATTTTATACAACAGGCAACTTCATTTGTATAAATGTGAGATTAGATAATTATCTTTAAATCAGTGTCAGGGAAATTATGTTTTTAGAGAAGACACATTAAGTAACTCTCATGTTTAATTTTTGTCGATAGCTATCATATTTAATTTTTGTTAAGATCAGGGAATTCCTTTTTTTTATGTTTTTAATTTGCATATACCTGAGATGGAATATAATTTTCATTTACACTTTCCGTATTTTCTACCAGGGTAGAAAACTGGGAAGGCTCAGAAAGCTTTAAGCAACACTGAGAATCTAACAGACTGAGGAAGAGGGAAATGTAAGAGAAATTGTTCAAGCATCTAAGGAAAGGGGAGGAGGAGAGAAAGTTAAAGTTGGTGTTTGCTATCGCTTGCATGAGGAGCCATCAGCTTTCCTTCATGACCGTGTAGCTAATGGCTCTGATAGGAAGATGTGATGAACTGAAATTTTGCTTTTTATATTAAGAAACCACAGGCAGAAAAATATATTAACATATTACTTCCCCCCCAATCTCTCTCTCTCTCTCTCTCTCTCTCTCTCTCTCTCTCTCTCTCTCTCTCTCTCTCTCTCTCTCTCTCTCTCTCTCTCTCTCTCTCTCTCTCTCTCCCTCCCTCTGTTTCTACCTCTCTCCCTCCCTGTCCATACCCCTTTTTTTCCTCTCTCCTACTCTCTTTCTTCTCTCCTTTTATCTTTTACATTTTCTTTCCGTCTTCTTTCTTTCTTGTCTCACCTTCTCTTTCTATCTGTTTATCATCGCAAAACTTATTTACTCTTATAATATGTGCTATGTACAGGATGGGCTTGGTTTCATAAAGGGTTTTTGTGAGTGAGAAATCCCTTCAATTTCTCGCGTAAGGCATTGGAGCTCAAGTTAACAATTTACGACTCTCTGCTCAAGAATTTTCTCTCTTTGATCGCAGGAGAGACTGTCCATGATATGACATTGTTGAAGAGATTCTCTTGTTTATGAGTTAACCATTGTAAGTACTGTACAATATTTTTTGGCTCATGGAACTTCCTCTTAACACCAATGACCTTCCTTGTATGTGATTTGCTGTAACAGGAAAAAGTTTATTCTTAAACCTTCATTAACATTGTTGCATGACTGGTTCTGCATACTTTTATATTTACTAATGTAAAGGGAAAAGCTCTTGAAATTCAAATTACTAACTGAGGAATATGTATGATTTATCCATATACTTGTATGAGACTGGAGAAATTATTCCTAATTGTATTAATAATAATATGAATGAGATTGCATAATTTCACATTGTAAAATATGTGTTTATCTTTTGCAGTGAGAGAGAGGTAAAGAGTGAGAGTTAAAGAGAGAGAGGGAAGAGGGAGTGAGAGTGAGAGAGAGAAGGGAAGTGAGAATGAGAGAGAGGTAAATAGAGAGTGGGGGGTAAAGAAAAAGAGAGGTAAAGAGAGGGAAAGAGAGAGAGAGGTAAAGAGAGGGAGAGAGAGAGAGAGGTAAAGAGAGGGAGAGAGAGAGAGAGGTAAAGAGAGGGAGAGAGAGAGAGAGAGGTAAAGAGAGGGAGAGAGAGAGAGAGGTAAAGAGAGGGAGAGAGAGAGAGAGGTAAAGAGAGGGAGAGAGAGAGAGAGGTAAAGAGAGGGAGAGAGAGAGAGAGGTAAAGAGAGGGAGAGAGAGAGAGAGGTAAAGAGAGGGAGAGAGAGAGAGGTAAAGAGAGGGAGAGAGAGAGAGAGGTAAAGAGAGGGAGAGAGAGAGAGAGGTAAAGAGAGGGAGAGAGAGAGAGAGAGGTAAAGAGAGGGAGAGAGAGAGAGAGGTAAAGAGAGGGAGAGAGAGAGAGAGGTAAAGAGAGGGAGAGAGAGAGAGAGAGAGAGAGAGAGAGAGAGAGAGAGAGAG